GGGAAAAGCCAGCTTTGGGCTGGCAGCAGGAACAGCCTTGCTGCAGAATGGGCCCCTACTGGCTGAGCCCTCAACTCTGCTTCCAGACAGAAGGGCTGCCCTTCCTATAAAGCAACACAACTGGTGTCTTAGCTTCTCAGATCCTTAAGTTTTCCCATAGTAGATGACGTCCCATTGGCAATCTTGCAAGGCCCATTGCCACCTTGCAATTTGTAGTTGCTGGTCCTGGAGAGCAGCAGGCAGGTCAGGAGAGGTCTGCCATGCCATGTGGGTCACCTCCCTGGCCTGTGGATGGAATTTGTGCCACAGTGGCTGTGGATAGCTTCATAGTGCTGTGCTTTAATCTGTTGTACCACCAGCGAGGGCCCTGGTTCTTTGTCTTTTATAATTAATCTTTAATCGGGGTCATGCTGGCTTACAGTTGGTAGTTTGGAAGGGGCCTAGTCCTTTAAAGCTGCCAGAATAGTGTGGCTCTGCTAGTTACAGAGCGTCTCTGTGTAAACAGGACATGTTCCTTTTTGCTGCTTAGGGAGTCTTGTGGTGGCTACACCCCTCATACTCTTCCTACCGTTTTGAACCTCCTATGAAGTGACAGACAAAACCAGATGCATGAAAAGACCCTCCCTTCCTCGGACCCAATGCACCTCCAAGAAGTGCCCCCCCCCCCGCCATTCCGGCCAGGAGGGCCCGCTTACCCTTGCGATGGGCAGCCATGGCTGGTATGCGCACATCGTCGTAGGACCTCCCGTCGGTGATGAGGATCATTACCTTCCTCTTGTTGGGCTTGGACTTCTTGAAGAGCTGTTCCAGGGCATAGTTGATGGCAGCCCCTGTGCTGGTGCCCCCACTCCAGTACCCCACCCTCTTGATGGCGTTGAGGACGTCAGGCTTGGTGCTATACTCCTCGAACCCAAACTCCAGCCGCTGTTCGTAGGTGTACTGCACGGCCCCGATCCGTGTGTCTGTCTCGGAAATCTCAAATTCTTTGCTGAGGTTGGCCACAAACTGCAGAACGGTACGGAAGTTGCTGGTCCCCACGCTGCTGGAGCCGTCGATGACAAAGCCGATGTCGGCTGAGTTGAAGCAGGTCTTGCTGCAGGCCAGCCGGTCGGTGTCACATACCCGCTTCAGCAGGGGCTGCAGGGTCTTGTGGAGGCTGAACCAGCTTGGCACGTTGAGCGTGTAGAAGCTGTTGGTTCTGCACACAGCCTGGAAGACAGAGGAGAGGGGCACTCAGCAAGCCAGGGCTCAAGTCCCCCAGCCTGTCACCAGGGTAGGTAAAGCAACAAGTGGACTCTTATTTTCCATGCTAGTCCTCCTGAAACCCCTGTCTCAGTTCACCCCATCACACAGTCACTGGGCAAAGACCCCGCCAGTGAGCTCTGGCCTCACCCCATCTCTGCGTTAGTGGAGACTCATCGGTTAAGCGAATCCATAACCAGAGGTGAAACACTGTTTGCAACGTCTGTCTCTGCCTCTCTGGGCTCCTATTTCACTTGCACTGGTGGCCGCCACGAGATGGGCATTGGCCATCAGCACATCCAAGGACGGAAGCCAGCTTTTATTCTGCTTGGGCAAACCAGACGACGACTCAAGAAACAAAGACGTGCCTCAAGAAATCTTTCCGGAGCAACCCTGGTCCCAGAGAGGTGGGGTCTCTTGAATGTGCCAGGGGTTGTTCTAGAAACTCTTAGAGGGATTCGCTTAATTAGCACCCCCCCCCCATTTTCAACCTTCATGGTGGAAAAATGACCCCCCACCCCAATCAGAAAGGAATAAACCAGGCCAGCTGCAAAGGGACACCCCTGAGTCCTTGAGACTGGAAACTTGAGCCTTAAAAACCCAAACTCTGTTCTCCAACAATCCTGCCTCTAGGCACGTGAATATTTATTTATTGGCACCCACACTTCAGAAGAAGTTCAAGTTAGTGGCAAGTAAGTGAGGAGCAGCCTGGCTGCTGTGCTCCAGGCACTGAGCGGGCCAGGCCCTGTGTGTGTCCTGTTGCCTCCGCTTCTGCGGGGCCACAGAGGGCTGGGAGAACTCGTCAGGGGCACGAGTTGGCCTGCGCTGTGAAATCCAGACGAACCTGGGGAGATGCATGAAGGACACGGGCAAAGTGAGTCATGTATGTCGGTGTGTGCCTCTCTGGTCTGCCTGATGGAAGCCTCAGGGGCCTGTGGCTGGACCCAGGGAGCCAGCAGATGAGACCCTGGGGACCCGCTCCCCATCTCCTCCCAAGGTACTATGGCCTGCACCTGCGAGGTTTGCTTTGAGAAAGTAATTCCAGGGCCCAGACTCACTCGTCGCTTACTGGAGGCCCTTCTGCCCAGAAGGGAGCATCACACCCATTCGAAGGAAGGAGAAAGCCAGCAAGAGGCTGTTTCCTGCCAAGCACAGGGAAGCCTGGCGCTGGGTGGTCTCCGGGCCCTTCCATACCTTGTTGGGAAAGTTGGGCTCCAGCACGTACTGCTTCTCGCTTTCCACAGCACCTTCAATGGTGATGAAGAAAATGTTGATTCCTGACTCTCTGGCAAGGCGTGAAGCCTCCTCCACCTTGTCCGTGGGCCAGCCATCTACCAGGACCACCACCACGTCGGGGGCACTGCCTCTATTTCCGTTGGCTTTGGGGAAGAAGGTCTTGGTCACAAAGTTAATGGCCCGGCCTGGAGGAAAAAGAACATTCATGCTTGGAGTGGTCATACTGGTCGTAAGCACAGGGATGGACCATGGACGCAGAGTCCAGCACCATGCACCGCCCCCAACCCCCATGTGCTTTGCTTTCTTCTCTTTCTTTACCACATTGATTGTCTTCAAGCGCAGAGTACATGGTACAACGTTCACTCACAATGCCGGGCAATCATCACCACTCTCCATTGCCCTCTCCAGTTTCATCATAAGCCGCTAACCTCTAAGTCTCTCAGTTTAAATAGTTTTAGGGTTCAGCACGTGAGAGAGACTCCTGGGAACAAAAGAGCCCCTTCTTGCCTGGTCACCGCCACACCACGCCCCTAAGCCAGCCCCTCCTTGTGTCTGGGAGCCTCGGGCAGGAGGGGTTGGCTGTGGGTGACTGACACTCTTTGTGGCCTCCTGGGGGCAGCGCTCATGAAGCTCATCTGGACTCAGTGACGTCTGTGCTCAGCTTCCATGCCCCAGGCTGCCTGGCCAGGACAGCTGCACCTCTAACTGAGGGACTGTGCTCCAGCCCTGGCCGTGCACAGGGATTTCATTTATCTGAGTTTTAAGGTGAAAACAAATCAGAATTCAACTCTCATGCATGTCTCTAAGATACTGTTGATCTGGGGTCCTGGGTAGCAGTGACTTCGGTGGTATTTATTTAGCTTGTTTCAAGCTCCAAGATTCTGTATGGCTAATACACCGAGGTGGGAGGGGAGTAATGAATCAGCTTTACTGCCACTGCAGAAGTGCTTTCTTGAAGATGGCTCTAGCCCTGGTGTGGGCTCCGTGCCAAGTAACTGTAGCTCATTTTTCTATTTGCTTGGACTTTGATGACAGGAAGTGGGCCATCACCCCTCCCAGTTACCCCAAAGCCAGACCACCATTGACAAATGAATACTCTGTCAGGGGCTCATTCGTAGCCTTTGCGTTGGGTTAGTGTGAAACTGTACTACTGTTGGTCAACGCCAGGTGACCTGATGGAGTGGAGTTTCTGGGCCTGACTGGCTGAGAACTAGACCTTGGGTTTCTGGCAGCTGCCTTCTCCTGGCTGCCAATGTGTCGACATCACAGCAGACTCAGTCAGAAGCAACGACTTGTGTGGACAGTTGATACTCCTTAACAGTAGTGGATTAGGACAAGACTTGCTAGGGGCATTGTAGTGGTTTAGTGAATGTACAGTGATGTACACTGAGGTGGGGAGGGTTACAAAACTTAATACTAAGAAAATAATAATAATGAACAGCTATAAACCAGAGACATTTTGTGGGGTGGAGTGGGGAATGGGATCAAAAACAGTGAGGGGAGGGAAGTGCACGGGGCTATGGTGATGGCACAAGGGTGATTTGGTGATGGGAAGCCCACTGGGATTGCAGCTGAACTGGAAAAAGGCACAAAATGATGTAAAAATATTGTAATAAAATTATATTATTATAATTATAATATTATAATAAAAAATTTAACATTAAGGAGTTGACCTTGACACCAGTCAGGAAACAGTCATAACTACTGGTCCTGACGAAAGTGGCCACACCCAGGGCCAGGCAGGCTGGAACTCTGTAGCCTGTGTAGAGATTCTTGGCCCCTGAATCCGTGATAAAGCCTTAAAGAAGATACACATATTAGGAGTCACTTTTTGATGGATGGTTATTATTTTTTCTTCCCACATAGAATACTAGGAGACATACTGCATGAAGAGCACCACAGTGTAACACTGCCTCTTCTGTACCTGGCTCACATACCTATGTTGGAAAGCCCTCCTTTGTGGGTAATTTTCTCTATGGCTGTCTTCAGATCTTGGGAATTCATGTGGGTCCTGAAGTTAAATTGGGTAGCAGGGTTGTCTCTAAAGAGGCAGAATAGGAAAATAAAAATTAGCCGGAAAATATTCAGCTTTGGGGGCAAGCAGAAGTTAGTCAGTTACTTTATATACACAGAATGGAAGCAGGTGTTCAAGAACTCCAGGAGTGGGCTTTAGTTTGGATTGTACCATTTCCCTACTGTGTGACCCTGAGAAGTCATGAAACTCTGTAAACTCTGGACCTTAGTTCCTCATTTAGATCAAAACAAGTATCATAACATCCATATTGCTAAAGAGCAGGACTGCGGCCAAGTGGGATTTTATAGCTGTAAGGGTGTCTCCAGCCTGCCTATACCCTTCTTTCCAGGAAGAAACTCGCAGCTGCCAGGTACTCCCTGGGGTAAACCTAGAACTGCAACTG